AGAGATGAAGTGACTTCAAAATTACATATTTAGTCCAAGATGCAAATTTTTTATTGTAGATACTCTGGGTGAGATTACTTCCTCATATTTATCAGAATAAGTTTGAAAATACCTATTTTAGAAATAATTATTATAGTCAACTGTGAAATTACATTTCATCTTGTTTTTTAAACCAGGAAATATTCTGTTAATCGAGCAGTTCTGTCATTTACAACTGTCTGATTTCAGTGACTCTGTTCTTTAGTTGCAAGATATTCAAATCTGGCCTTGAAGCACATTAGAAGGCTAGAGTTCTGAAACCCAACAGGGAAATCTTCATAAAATAAAATTGTACTTCAGTGGCACCTCAGAACAGAAGGTTCCTTCCAAAGAGTAAGGGGACATCACAGCTTGTCCCTTCATTCCTCTCTCCATAGTGGCACATTTAACTGTTTGCCACCAGCGAGGCTGAGGTTACTAGTAGGAATTTGTCATCACTTTGTTACCTACTCCCCCAGCTTTAAAATCACAAAAGCAAATAAATGGGAAAAAAGTCAACTCCTTCTGGAACTAGTTCCAATACTACTAAACTGTACTACGAAAGAAGTGACCATTTATAGAAGCATGTATTTTTATAGTTGAAATTTCCTAATATGGTCTTTATTCAAGAATATTGATGAGTACCAGTCTCCAAAGATAAAGTTAGTAATGAGATATCATCACTGTTTGCAAAACATAAATCTTTTGAATGATTTTGTATCCTCTTCCTGCCCCCTTTGGCTTATGGCTTGGTTCAGTCAAATTACTGGTAATAATTATATTTTAAAATAATTGCATCTAAAGTAGTTTAGAATGGAGTACATTGAAATGAAGAGATTATATGTGGATACTATAATTATTTAAAAATTGTGTTATTATTAAACACTGCCCTGCAATAAGTATTTTCAAGTTTGGAAAATAAATTGAACCAAGAGACAGCCATTGACTGGTATGGCCTGAGGACCCACAGGCTTCACCAGCTTGTTTGCTTCTTGGTATACACATTACAGAGGGAGCATCATCCTTGCCCATACGTGAAGCCTGCAATCCACCAGAGAAAACAGCAAGAAAAATATGAGACAGAAATTTACATCCTCCATAGTTGAAAGTGTCTTGGAGACCAGTTGTATGGGAGGAGCTAAGCCTTGGTTTATAGTTTAAAGAAGAAAGGAAAGAAGTTGTTGCTTCATTGTAGGAAAATTTGGGAAAAAGCCAAAACTTTGGGCAGAAATTCATTTACTAGTAGTCTCTGAGCATCCACGCATGACAAGCAGCATGTGAGAACTGGGCGTGAGGACCTGCTTTTGAGAAGCTCGTGATTTAGTGGGAAAGACAGACATACAAAAGCAGCGAATTTAGAGTGCTGTGGAGGTCACGATTAGAGTGAGATCAGTTCTGTGTGGTGCGTCCCAAAAGCTTTCACATGTGATGTCTGAGCACCTGTTATGTGCCAGACACTGTTCTGGACGTCGGAGATAAAACACAAGCCACAGTCTTTGCTGGAAGAAGACCAGGTTGTGTGTGTGTTGGTTGGGGAAGGACGAGATCGTGCATTTCCTCTGGGACACGTGGACGCAGAGGGCCTGCGACACGTCCAGGGGTGGGTGGCAGGTAGGCAGTTGCGTGTGTGAGTCTGGAGCCTAGGGGAGAGGCCTGGGCAGGGAGCCAGCGTGAATGGGGTCCTTGAGGCCCTGGACGTGACCGGATCTTGTAGAGAGAGAAGAGGAGACAGGGCCCGGGAAGGAGGAGTCGGCACGAATCTATGTAGAGCACCAGAGTTAGGGGGAGCAAGCAGCAAAGACTGATGCACTTGCCCGTGTGTCTATTCATTATTATTAGACTTTTCTGTCTTGCCCTCTTGAAGTCCGTGGCTCACATAAGCTTTCTCTCGTTGGAAGTGATTAGGCATGAAAAGAACTTGTAATGGAGGAGATTTTTAAAAATCTGATTGCATGCTGTATCAGTGTTCTTCAGTTATCTGTGACATACTTGTTCCGAAACCAAGTAAGTAACTTCCTCCATCATTGCTTGACAACTAGACTGTTCGTGCTGCTTTTTTCCTTCTCCCCAACCTTAACAGTGCGTTATCTTCCCAAGAGAGCTATAGTTGGAGTTGATTAATGGTGGGGAATTTGGGGGCTGATTTTTTTATTCTGTTTTGCTTTGGTGTGATGTTGAACAGTGATAACGCCTTAAATTACCAGTCCTTTATTCAGGAATTAGGTGTCTGCTGTTGTCTGGTATTTCTTCTTCTCTAAAATGGAAAATTGTATTACTCAAAAGATGCTTCACTGCAGAGGCATTACAAGTACTTACTGCCACATGTCATCTAACATGCAGGCCCTAGGGAGGTAGCAGAGAGCAGAGCAGACATGGTCCACGTCCTCAGAAGCTCACAGGCGAGCATGGGAGTCAGACAGCCATCAAATAATCCCACAGTAAAGACAGGAGAGTAATGTTGGTTATGCCGGTGGAGGACTGTAGGGTCATGTGAGAACCCATAGTGGGGCCGTCAGGGAACTGGTCTGGGACTGATGGATAGTAACCCCGAGTGCTCGTGAAGAATAATAGTTTGCTGTTGCCTGCTCATGAGCTGTCTCTTTTGAAAACAAAGGTCGTAAGTGATAAGATACCCCTTTCACCTAGCACCAAGGCACATAGCTGATCTTCAAAACACGCTTGAGCAAATGAGTGAGAAGAGAAGAAAAGCCCGCTTCCCAGGGACCTCCCCCATGACGTTCGCCTTACAGTGTGGTTCCCACACATCTTATTCTTTTGAAATATGTAAATTACACATTTCAGTTCAAGTTACGAGAAGTCATGTTCCGTGTTTATCGTATTGAAAACTGCCTACCAAGCTCGTTGGGCACCTGCCTCGTCCAGGGCTTCCGCGGGTCTGACCCGGTGCCCCAGTGTCTCCATCCCTGTGCCTGGGTCGCCTGAAGTCTTCGCGCGCTTACCAGTGGACACTTATTTCCTCTGTTGGCAGCCAAAAATTTAACTTTTCTAAAACGATTTTCACTTTGTTCCTAGTAGTTTGTCTGTGTTTCCTTTAAGTGGCATGCGGTAATGGATTCATCACTGTTCTAGGGAAAATTGTTTTAGCCTTTTTTTTAGTTTTCAGTCATTAAAATGTAGGTCATGTTTAAAGCAATATTTATAGACAATTGATTTATTTATATTTAAAACAGCTCTGGGGCCGGCCCGGTGGCGCAGGTGGTTAAGTGCGCGCGCTCTGCTGTGGCGGCCCAGGGTTTGCGGGTTCGGATCCTGGGCACGCACTGACGCACCAGTTGTCAGGCCATGCTGTGGTGGCGTCCCATACAAAGTGGAGGAAGACGGGCACAGATGTTAGCCCAGGGCCAGTCTTCCTCAGCAAAAAAAAAAAAA